ATGGAACTATAATAGTTCCATGCTGCTACTGATATATGCAATGGTGTTATGGTAATTACAATGAACGTGCTCTGCATACAGTATTTTAGTGTTGAGAAATTTAAGTACACCTTCACTGTATCACATGTTACAATTGGAATGGCAATGCTAGTTGGTCCGTCCACGGGAGGTGAGTCACATCTTTAGTACTTTTGTTTTGACTTTGATCATTTCCACAGATTCATCAACGCATATTTTGAAATGAAATGTGGCAAAGTGAAAGTGTCGATCCGTTAGGCGAATTGAGAGGAATGTGTCATTTTTTCTCACGTTACACAAACATGTTGGCCAAGCTTGCTTGGAAACTTTATTTTAATGGACCTTACTTGCGACCTATAATTATAACATTAAATGTGTGTAAAATCAACGCGCGACATTTTGTTGACAGTCCGATTCTTTTGAATAATTATTTCGCTAAATAAGTCTGCATTAAGTTATCCAAATATCTTCGAGAACACGAAAGACATTATGTTTTATCGTCTCTTCTAATAGAAGTTATTTCTGAAAGAAGGAAATTACAACGTTTAACAGGACGTTAATCACACCTACTTACATAATTACGTCTGAAATTTTGTTTTTGTCAAAATGCTATGATGATCTTAAATGTTGACTGCTTTCCAAATTTAGTAGAACCAATAAGATTTAAGTAACGATACATTCGACGAATGACCATTCAACGATAGGGATGTTCGTGTCGTGGACGGAAATTCAAACTTGTGGTCTTCAGTTTACAGAGTAAACCTTATTGTGTAGGTGGCAAAGTAAACAATTAGGCGTATTCTGCCAGAGTCAATGTTCACGGGACGAATGTATTAAAATAATAAATTAATAAAGCATTTTATTCTTACCAATTTAAGGTATGATACGAGATTCAACTGGTGCGTATGTGTGGACTTTCTACTATGGCGGCTTTTGTTGTTTATTTGCGGCATCTATCATGTGTTTGATGCCGTTAGCCGGCAGGTGTCAATCAGTTAACAAAGACAATGATGTCATCCGAAAAACTACTTCAGACGACCAAAGACCATCTACTGTTATTGTTGGAAATGAGACATCCGTGTAACTCAACACAGAAACTGTTTCCATCCAGTCAGTATAACACAGTGTGCGTGTATTGTTCCCCATTGATTGGTGTTTATTCTGGTTAAACTGACGTTTGAAGAACATATTTAAGAACAAATGTATTGTAATAAGATGCTGCTGTTCTGTGGGTATTTTTTACCAGGGAGGGGATGATATGCATTATAATCAGATGTATTCGAAGTACTAGTTAACGCGTTTGACTAATGATGATGATATAGAACATTATTAAGTAAGTTGTAAAGGAATACATTTCCATGTAAGGGGAGACAACTAATGTATATTGCTGTAAAAACATTCGCAGTGAACAGTATATGGTTGATAAATTTAGTCTTTATTCGATGACTTGGTATTCCCATTGTGAGAAGCAGTCTGCTTCGTGACATTTTCGTGGTCCGCAAATTAACTAAATTCACCTTCAGTGATTGTTCCAAGTAGTTGCCATAGACAGCAAAATAACCTACAACAAAAGTTAGTTTATTTTGAGAAAATAAAACAAACATATGAGATTATCGTTTTTTTTAATGACAGAAACATGCACCACACGTAACATTGACACAGCGCGAACAGTTAAACATATAATACAAATATAAGAAACTGACCTTTGTACCCAGCGACGTTAGGGCATGCATGCGCCATTATAACTCGCACCAGCGATAATTGGTATGTTGGGCTCGACAGAGAACTGTCAAGTTAACCAGAAATGCGAGACGTGGGAAATACATAAAACGTGTAACTCGTTTAGAAGTTGTTGTTACGGTATGTATAATTAATTATGTATGTATGTATTATAGACTTAAGGACACAGTGCTCTATTTTGCGTGATATGGGACTGGACGTTAATTACTAGGGGATAGGACCGGGCGATTAGAGGGAAGGGTCATTTCTATTCCGGCGCAAGTTTGGGTGCATCGCACTTGCATGTCTTCCCCCTTACTACCATTCGGTGGCACATTTCACTTCGGGAGAAGTTGAAAATCCGGAAACAGTCGACTGCAGCAGGAAGGGGCATAGCTACAATTCGGAACCTTTTTTTTTCAATTTTACTCGAAAAAGATTTAGCATATGTTTTTTTTACAAATATATATTTCAGGGCAGCAGAAACCAATCGGTATATTGGGCTCGACACAGAAATGTCAAGTTAACCCGAAATTCACATTTTGTGCAAGTTATAGATCATGATGGCAAATATAAAAAAAAACGTGTAACTAATTGTTGTTACGGTATGTTTATTTATAGAATTAAGAACGACGCAATGCTCATTATTGCCGCGTGATAAGGAACTGGATTAGGGGGAAGGTCACTTCTTTTCTGGTGCAAGTTTGGGATGGGTAACATGTTTTACAACAGTCATTGCGGGGGGGGGGGGGTCATGTATTTTCGGTCCACTAACTGTAACGTATTGTTTATGTATGTTGCTTGTAGTTACACTGTGTTCGTGAACTTGTATTTTCCCTATGGGATTTTGGTTGAATGATCTACGGATATGTATTTTATTTTATTTATACCAATTTAAGTGCATCTAAACCTCACATAAACGCATTGGGGATTACTACAGATTATTAGCCTATATATAGGTACATTTCGAGATGAAAATTACTATGATTTACCAATCTGAATAAATAATGGCGAGATTGTTGTTTATACTATTCAATGTAGGCGAAGATATCGAATATTAATGTTGACAAGTCGCCTACAATGTATTGACTTCAAGCACTGCCCCGTTATTGTCTGACAACATGGCTGAACGTGGTACTGATCGACTGATTAGAATGTGATGGTTCAATAACCGACACCACACGGCAATTTAATCACTTTTGACGTTGTGAGTTGAGCTAAGAATTAATCCATAAAAACTTTAGTTTACTTTGTTCCCGCCCCGTAAACGCAAAGCTTTATTCATGTGTATACGAGCATCCTGGACAAATGTATTCACACTAGGCATACACCAAATGCACAGAAAATATACGCGCTATACTGTTTAAGTTTTATAGAAACTGCTTGTTTCATAAAAATAAAACATATTCACTGCGTCAAAACTACAGCGGAAACTTAGAATTTGCATAACACAAGATAACATGCATGACCTTCACATGTAGGTCGGCGCCATTCTAAACACGGAACCATGTTCGCCGCGTGAATTTAGATCTAAACATTGAATTTGCGTGTTATTGTATAATTTGTAATTGTCCAATGGAAATCACAGCTATGGGATAAACCTGTCTGGCGTGTCATATATGTAACTGTGGGCACTTGGCGTTTTTGAATCGATATTTGAGTTGACCGCACTTTGAGTCATCATGATGGCCAGCCACAGTGGTGTACACCATGAACGACATCCAACACAATGATCTCAGGGATCCGACACATGGGGGTATTATAATTACTATACCCTAGGATTTCTCGAGGTTGTTCTAAGGTAAGTCTGTTGGTATGAGATCGGACAGTCGTCTCGCTTCAGTAACAGGGAACGCAATATATAAGCGAATAGTCTGAACTCCCAACCACCGTCCCAACGAAGGACTGCCGTTATCGCATTCTCTGAATTTATTTGCCCTGACTGAGAATTGTAATACCACATGTTAACGTCAAATTATCGCATGGGTTTTAAAACGCGTAGGAATATGGCAAAGTTTCCAAGCTGTTTACCTGTAGTTACCATGAACGCAAAAGGAGGTCATTTGTGACCTTCATTCACTTCCGGTGCAGTTTCAATCAGATATTTTATTATGATCAGCGTCCGTGTTGTACTTATCATGTTGATTCTGTGTTACTGGTTACCTTTGAAAGTTTACCAAATTTCGTAAAATGTCTTTCATTCATACTTGCATAATGATGTTGGGCATAGCTATTATCCGTACTTATCTGTGCGTAGTGTGAATACTCTGTGAAATAAACTGACAAACGGGGTCACATGAAAGACTGTTGACTCCGGCGGGCGCTTAGTATAACGAGCAACCACGTTCCCTCAGCCAAGATATCCAATTTGAGGTTTGGAAATTTATTATTATACGGAAATACATTAGTCCTTGTATAAGTAACAATATATTTGAATATTTTGCTTTTTGATAGTGGATCACATGATTTTCAAAATCCTGAAAATGAACGATTAAC